CCAGTCTTAGGCAGCCCAGGTCATGGGTGTAGACATGCTCCCAGTCAGCTCAGAGAGGCCTCAGGACCTGAACCAAGAACCTTTCCCATGGAGTCCAGTTGCATTAGTCCTATGCCACCTCACAGACCCTATATTCTGCGCTTCTTATCTGTCACGTCCACCCAAAGTCCCTTGAGCTTTCTTATCTTCACATACCACATCTGCCACAATTACCCAGATGGTGAATGGGTGAATGAATGAACAAAACAAGCTCTAAAGATTCAAAGACCTTCTCCCAACTAGAGACTATAGCAGAGATGCAAATATCCAGAAATTTAGACCTGAACTCACACTGTCTTCCTGGCTACGGTGATTGAACGAATCCAGATCTCTTCATGGAAAACTCCTAAATGGGCCTAAATGGAACAGTCTGGAACCTGGAAGTGAGCCACAGCTCTAGAGAGAGTCTGCCCGTGCTGCTACAGTGCAGCTTCAAGGCCCCTAATTTGTGCGGAAGGTCCAAGCAACATGGCTTCCTAAGACCAGGTGCCATACGTTGCAATCTAAGCAGTTCCCTGGCACTGATGCGACTGGGAGGATACACAGAAGCAACAATCTTCTATGTTCTTCCAAGTTCCTTCTATGTCCTATGGTCCTCTGGCTTCTGGGGGACATCTTCATCCCAGAGACTGCAAGGTCCCTGAACTTTGGGCCTCTCTGAGAGAACTGAAGGGAATCATGACATACCTGCCTCTGTGTTTCACATTTATCCTTTGTACTGATCTTGCTCTGGTTCTGGAGCAAATCAATTAAAAGTCATCTTGGGGGCCAGCAGTTGGCGTAGTGGTTACGTTGCTGGGCTCCCATATAGCTGACCAAGGTCTGAGTCCCTGACCTTGTGGCTTGAAATCACAGGTGCATGTGTGCCCAAGATCCTGAGAAGAGAATGGAAAAGGGATTGCAGAGTGTCTATTCCTCCTGGGGGTGGGGGTCTCACTTTCCCACTCACTGTCTCTGTCTTTCTGGCAAGCGCGTACATCCTGAGGCAAAAATGTCTTAAAATAAAAAGAAAAGCAATCTTGCTGCAAATGCAAGTTGTCATTCTCAACATTCTTTGTGACATGGCTGGTGAAAGGATACCGTTTTGAAACTGGGCCCCTCATGGTGCCATTTTTCCAGGGTTAGCCCAAATTCTTGTCTGTCCACTTGTTAATTCTTCCTTCTCTGTCTGTCTTCTATCCTACTGAAACATTTGCTAATTCTTCCTTTTCTCGCTTCCATCCTACTGAAGCATTTCATGAACACACACTAAGCATCAAGCTCTTTGCTTGGGATACAAAAATAAATAAAACGGGTGCCAGCAGGTGGCGTAGTGGTTAAGGCTGTACACTCCCATATGGTCGACGGCAAGTGTGAGTTTCAGACTCATAAGCTTGAAACTCACACCAGGCACATGTGCATGTGTACCCAAAATCCCATGAAGAGAATGGAGGGGATGGGATTGTAGTGTGACTATTCCCCCTGGGGCATGATCCCTCTGGGGCACAATTTCTCACTTTCTGTTTCTCTGTCTCTCTGGTAGGTGCACACACCCTAAAGACCCCCCCCCAAAAAAAAGAATAAAACAACATCCCTCTCTCTTCAAGTTATTTTCAGGATTCTAAAGAGATAGGAATGTAAACAAGTACTCATAATACACTTGAATAAGTGTTCTTATGGAGGTATATGAGGAGATTTCAAAAAGTTCATGGAGAAATGGAATCAAAGCGCTATTTTTATTTTGACACCAATTTTAAATCCATGCAGTTTTATCATAACACACGCTTCCCTTGAACTTTTTGAAGACCCCTTGTATATGTGGCCCTGCAAGGTTACGGAGATGACAGTGCTCAGCTAGCAGATGGGGAGTAACCAGCTGGTGGGAGGGGCCCTGTTTTGCGTTTGGTGATTTCCACGTGGCAAACTCTCCTGCCTGTTTGATTTCAAGCTATCTATCCAGGAGGTGCTGCACTTGACCTACAGAACTATGAGCTCATACACAAGTTCTTTTTTTTTTTTTTTTTCTTAGAGGTTTTGCTATAAGGCCCAAAGGGCGCCTAACAGAGAGAGACAGAGAGACAGCAAGTGAGAAATCACCCCTCAGGGGGATGGTCACACCACAATCCCTTCTCCTCCATTCTCCTCTCAGGATCTTAGGCACACACGCACATGTGACCAGCGTGAGTTTAAGCCATCGGATCTGTGACTCGAACCACAGTTGACTACGTGGGAGTCCAGTGATGTAGCCATTACGCCAACTGCTGGTCCCACATGAGTTCTATTTTAAACCACCAAATTTGTGGACATTTGCTACATAACCATAGAAAACCAACCCAATGCCAATGAAATCTGGTTTTTTTTTTTTTTTTTTTTTAGAGTGAGCTTTTTGCTATAGGGTGTGTGCGCTCACTGGAGAGACAGAGAAAGAGATAGATAGAAAGCAAGGAACTCCCCCACCCCCGGGAGATGGTCATGCCACAATCCCTTCTCCTCCAGTCTCCTCGCAGGATTTTGGGCACACACGCACACATGCCCAGCATAAGTTTTAAGCTGCCAGGTCCAGTACTCAAACTACGTTGGACTATGTGGGAGTCCAGTGATGTAACCCTTATACCATCTACCAGTTCCCCAATGAAATCTTTTAACAGATGTGAAAACTAAGGCTCAGAAACAGTAAACTATTAGGCCAGTGGTAGGGTGCTTACAGCAGACGGATCCTACATGGCTGAGCAATGTAGCATTTGAACTTGCATGGTTCAAATCCTGAAACTGGCACCTTGAGAAACACATGGGGTGCATGTGTGCATGTGCTCAAAATCCCAAAAGGAGGGGGAGATGGAGGAGAGGAGACTGTAGTGTGACTAGTCCCCATGGGGGATACTTTCTTCCTCCACCCCATCCCTTCTGCCTCTGGCGAGCACACACAATCTCTAGCAAAAATAAAAAGAAAATGAATTCTGAACCAGAAGAAAATGAAATGTTGAGTGTGTCTTTGGACTCGAAGTGGACCTCAGTGGTTAGTTTGATGTTTATTTCAGAGGACAACACTATGGAGTAACAGACATTTTCCTAAGGGACTCTACTCATGAAATGTTGGAGTTTGGCTGGAAGATGTCCATTTCTGCTCTTCTCCTCCAGCCTGCCCAGATGTGCTTGGAAAATTTGGTTTCCCCTGAATATGTACATCTGTCAAAATTTCTGTCAATTTTAGCACGACTGCCAAGGGAGGGAACAAAGAGAGTTCGCGATTAACTTCAAAGAACTTTGTTGGAGAGGAATAAAGATATTTAAGGCCTATTTTGTGAACTAATTGCATTTGCATATTTATGGGATTTACTGATATAGCAGTAATTAAAAACTATTTAGTAGTCTTAAAGGACACATAACTCAGTTGCTGTTTGCATAATAAACACTTCCTTATTATGTTTGCATAATAAACCCTCTCCCCCTGCATCTTCCAAGAGATATTGGTCGGTTTAAGAGGTGCCATATTTTAGTTGAAAATAATGAAAAAACACAGGGCATGGGTTTCTGGGGATGTGGAGAGGAAGCTTATGAAGGAAATATAATTCTAGGTCCTCTCCTTATGACGGGCTGGCCTGCGCTGCTGTCAGTGAATGGCAGACTCAAATATCAGGTTAAGCATTTCTTTTTAAAATTAATTAATTAATTTTATTATTAATTAATTAATTAACTTATTTCTAATACCAGACCTGGCAGCTTGCTTTCTCACTTTTTCTCTCTCTGTATGTCTTGCTCTGGTCAAATAAAAAGTAACCATAATGATAAATAAAATAAAGGAGATAATTCTTTAAAAAAAAATCTATTTATGGGGCCGGCAGGTGGCGTGGTGGTTAAGGGCACTGTACTCCCACATGGACAACCATGGTTTGAGTCCCCGACCTGGCAACTTGCTTTCTCACTTCCCTCTGTGTCTCTTTCTCACATACTCTGTCCCTCTCTGGTCAAATTAAAATAAATAAATAAAGTTAAATAAAATAATTTTTAAAAAACGCTATTTATTTAACTTTATTATTATTAACTTCTAATCTGTTAAAAGGAATATGAACTCACCAGAGAGAGAGAGAGGGAAAGTAAGAAAGCAAGCTGCCAGGTCCAGGACTTGAAGGGCAGCTGGCTATGTGGGAGTCCAGCATCTTAACCAACATGCCACCTGCTGGCCCCTCTGCCCTTACTACTCAGAGAGTCTGAGTGCCCAGCCTCTCCTGATTCCAAGATTTTGACTTAAATGCTAATCTGTTTGAAAGGCCTGAATGAGGGTCACCCATAACCCATACTCACCCTTCCTCGGAAGATGTCTAAGGGGAAGTATCAGAAACAATGGATGAGTAAAAAGCTTTTGATTTTCTTTCTTTTTTTTTTAATTAATTAATTTATTTAACTTCATTTGTTACCTTTTTTTTTTTTTTAATTTGACCAGAGAGAGAGAGAGAGAAAGGGAAAGTGAGAAAGCAAACCACCAGGACTCGAACTGCGGTTGGCCATGTGGGAATCCAGCACCTTTAACTACCACGCCACCTGCCAGCCCCCCAAAGCTTCTGGTTTTCATGCAGTATTAAAGATTGAGATGAGAGGTGACCTCATCTAAAAATACTGAGTAGGGCCAGCAGGTGGTGCAGTGATTAAGGCATGGGACTCCCACATGGCCAGCCATCCTTCGAGTCTCAGACCTGGCAGCTTGCTTCCTTACTCTCCCTCTCTCTCTCTCTCTGTTCAAATTGAATAACAATAATAACAAATACAATTAATAAATAATTTCTTTTTAAAGTACTGAGTAAACTAGCTATACCCAGATAGCACAGTAAAGTTAGAAAAAGATTCGACCTGAGCCAACTTGAAGTACCGAGAGGGCGATCAAGGAAAGAGCAGGACGCTTCTGTATCCAAATGGCTCTGAAGACGAGGCGCTCACAGAGAACCCTTTCCGTCTTGGCAGAACTCATCAGCCAATGAGGAGCGGTCATGGGGCAGGATCGCCGGGCTGTTAGATTAGCTAATGACAGCTGTAATGTACCTGGACTCCACATCATTAGCAATGGCCTTCCAGTAGCAGATGGCCATACGAGAACGTGCCAAGACAAGGGGGAGGGGGTGTGTGTCCCCGAAGGCTTCACTTAGTGTCAGCGGGTGGCAAGAATACACCGTTGCTCATCATCTCAGGTAAACCTGTGCATAAAGGCTCTGCATTCCCTTCCCGTAAAAAGTGCTCCCTTCAGAGCGGGTGCTGCCTGCAGCTTGCTTTTCTCTTGTCCTCATCCATCTCCGAGGTAGAAGCTGACAATTTGGAGAATGAATGGGAAGTGCTGGGACTTTGAGGGCCAAATCAATCCTTCGCGAGCTCATCTCTTGATGAAGTCCCATTTATCTGCCCACCCTCTGTAAAGGGTATTTCTCAAATAAACTTTGTATTAGAGCCCTTCCACCAGGTTCCATTTAGATTTCTTTGTCTTCTGAAATATTCACACATAAAGCAAACAGGAAGACTGGTTGAAGAAACCCCTTGACCATGGCCGCCTAAAACAACTGTGAGAATAAGTTACGTGATGTCACTTCACCCTGGAATGCCTAGCGTGTTACTTACAAAGAAGGACTTTCTTTTACATAATTTAATACAGCCAGAAAATCAGGAAATCAATGTTGCTCATTACGGCTCCTAATCTGCATACCCCATTTCAGTTTCCCCAAAGGTATTTTTTTAATTTTAAAGAATGATCTATTTCACTACATTTTGATTATTATTTATCAACCTGCTATACTGCATGTGTGCTCACCGAAGAGAAAGAGGGAGAGTCAGAGAAGGAAGGTGAGGAAGCAAGCCACTAGGTCTAGGACTCGAACTGTGGTCAGTTAGCCCTGTGGGAGTCTAGTGCTTTAACCATCAGGCCACCTGCTGCCCCTCCCCCCAAAAAGACAAATGATGGAAATGGTATCAAATTTGCTTTTTTGTTCCCTGAGCACTTGTAGGGTCTATAAATAGAAGATAGCATAGTTAGGTAGAATTATGCACTCTTTTCCTTAATAAAAAAAGAAAGAGGGGATCAGCAGGTGGTGTGCTGGTTAAGGCGCTGGATACTCCCACATGGCCAGCCGTGGTTCAAGTCTCAGACCTGGTGGCTTGCTTTCTCACTTTCTCTCTTTCTTTCTCTCCCTCTCTCCCTCTCTCTGTGTCTCTCTGGTCAAAATTTAAAAAAATAAGTGAATGAGTGAATAAAATTAAAAATAAATAATTCTTTAAAAACAAGAGTGAAAGGGCATACAATCACAAAATGGGGGACAAACTTTTATTGAATGATGTTAAATTTGATAGTTCTCATCTTCAATAAGCTTAGAAGTATCCTCTCTTAGGTAGTTATTTTCTGAATTGTGAGCAGTGTAAATTTAAGAAGCACTTCTATTTATCAAAAATCAATGTTTCTTTTAATTAAAGGGGCTTAGGAAAAACAAAAGGCACTTTTCCCATGTATTGCTCGCAGTTGTCCTTCATTAGACAATCCCAGGTTTCCATTAGCTTTGTGTAATTCAGGAGTTTAATAACCATTGTCAAATGCTGAAGATGTTACTGCGTAAGTCTGATTTAGAACAGCTATTTGGATCTCAATTATTAATGAAATTAGTGTCCTGGATGTCAGCAAGACCATTGCCTTAGGTAAAGGCTGTAGAGGAAATCATATTAGTGTGGAATTTCCTCTCCTTCGGGGCTCCTCTTGGATTACATTATTCACTTAGCCCTCTCCTGTCAGGGAGATGGAACTGTTGGCCATGATCTGATCCTGGGCAGAACCAAAGGGAGAAGTTAAGGGGTTTCGTGAAGCATCAATTCTGAAACATTTGTGCAGGGCTGCTATTGCCTTTGTCTCATCGAGTGTTTACAAAATAGCACGGACAAGGATTGCACTAACCGGCCCACGGGGAAGCGCAGAGTGACGAGAAACCCTGGGAGCGGCATTCCGACGGAAGGCAGGCTTGCGTTTCTCCTCCTGGGGACCTGCCCAGGAACACTGGCAAATGCGATGGCTCCTCCGTGGCCCTGCGTCCTGGTGGTTGCCTCAGGTGAGCCCTTTTGATGACTTGAGGAGGCATTCAGTCTTAACTCTAGGAAAGTGGAGGAAATACTTTTTATACACTGTGGTCTATAACTCTGCACAAGTGTTCGTTTTCATTCATCATCTGTGAAATGCCTGTCCCGTGAAGCGACATGGAAACTAATGATTTGTTTCTGAGCTTGTTTCCACAATTACAATATACAAACATATAGCACACAGTGGGACGTTTCTATGCTATACTGAACGCGATACTGAAAATAGGTTTCAAAATGTTATACAGTCATTGTCTGGGAAATCTCTGAAAGCCTCTAGAATCGCTGAAATTCTCTAGAAATCAAGCTCACTTGCAGTCATTTACATCAAACATTTAGGACATTCTTTTTTCAGATTTGCTTTTATGTATGGACAGTGTCTTTTCCTGATTCAGGGTAGTCTTGACTTCATTCTACATCTTTAGCAGCCTAGAGAAAGAGTCCTTTAAATATGCCATGGTTATAGACACCTGTTTGTCATTTCAATATGAGAGACCTTAACATCCAGTCTTACAAAAATCTATACAGGTGACAAGCAGATCTGTAAAGGTAGATTACTACAAACTTGCAAGTGTTGACCATACAACTCCTCTCAAAGCACTTTAAAACTAATATATTTTTGCTAAAGTTCTGAAAGTTTCCTTCCATGGTTCCAGTACTAACTACTGAGCAGAACCATTTTAGTTAGGATCCAATTGATTCATAGTAATGGTTCACAGATCAGGGAAGTATGTTTATGCTGGTGTCACTCAACACCTCTCTTGAAGAGGTCTTCTAGAACTTGTATCTGAAGTCTCAAGTTTTAAAATGTAACTGGAAGTGGAATGAGTCAATTATGGAGTGAAGGAAGGAATCTGGTAGCCGAAGAACTGAGAAAGGTTGTTTTATAAAGAAGAAAGCCGCTTATCATTAAAGTATAAAAATCCTGGATGTCGAACCTAAAGGATAAAAGAATATCTTAATTATAAAAGTAATAACAGAGGAAATTTCATTAAATGCCAAATGGATTTCTTAGCAGAAAATAATTGTGAACATTAAATGAAGATAAAATAGAAAAATGAAGGTGAAAGAACAGAAGAAATTCTTCTTAATGATATCTCTTTCTAATGTTTTGTATTATGCTTTATTTTTGTTCCAAATGTAGCAGAAAAAGTGTTTTAGTAGTGTCTAATAACCAGTGCTTTACCACAAATCATACTGAGACTATTTGCTGCAGAAGAACCTACCCTTTGGAGTTTTACTGGGTTAATAACAAGATGATTTGTAAATGTAAGAACACAAAACCAATCAGCAACACAAGGCCACTCCCTGCAGGTTGTGTACTGGAGCAAGGCAGTATGAATTAGCAGAAGAATCTAGATCCTGCCTCACTACTCAGCAGTCACATGACCTAGGCATGTCAGTTTACCTCTTAGAGACTCGGTTGCCTTGTAAGTTAACTTAGTTGGATATTTGGAGAGGTTTTTGCTATAGGGCACGTGCTTGCCAGAAAGGCAGAGAGAGACAGAGAGACAGAAAGGGAGAAATCACTCCCCCAGGGGGGATGGCCATGCCACAGTCCCTTCTCCTCCATTCTCCTCTTGGGATCTTGGGCACACACACACATGCGCCCGGTGAGAGTTTAAGCAACTGGGTCCGGGACTCGAATCGCGGTTGACTACATGGGAGTCCAGTGACATAGCCATTATGCCAGCTGCTGGTCCCACACAATGTGAATGCTTGATCCTGTACATTCGTCCACAAGCTCTCTTCTTTGCAGCAATCTGTCGTGACTGTGGCATTATACTTGTCTTATCCCTACATGAACAGACTCAGACTCTAAGCTCCCTGAGCGTGGAGATGCTGGTTATCTTTGCCCATCACTGTATTCCCAATGGACAGTGTGCAGCACAGCCTAGGCATTCCAAGAGTCTAGCAACAGCAGCTGCGACCGGTTGGAGTAGCATTAGCACCATGGCTACGCCAAAAGTCCCTGGTATGATTTTCAAATCACCAGGTTCAGGACTTAAACCGCAGTCTGGCATGTGGGAGTCCAGTGCCTTAACCAATGCACTACCTACTGGTCCTGACTCTCCTATAACCTTAAAGATACTAAAGCAAGAATAGCTCTTTTCATCCAAGTATTCCAGACACTATGTGACAGGCGTGTGGGGGGACAGACAATGACACAGCAGTTAACTGTGACCCTCTGTGAGGCTGACCCGCATGTGTGTGCTCAGGGAGGTTCTGGGTTCATATCCAGAGACCTCCCTGAGCACACCAGGCCTGAGTGTGCCCACGATCCAGGGCTGACTGAGGTGGGGGACAGATTGGGGTGTCAAGACTTTGTTGATGGTGCTTTCTCTCCCTCTCTGTTTCTGTTTCTCTCTCTTGCTTGTGAAAGAATCTTTTTTCAAAAAAGGAGAGTGAAAATATTAAGAAAATAAATATGAGAGTAACTCATGAAAACAAGGAAACCAAAGGTATCATTTCTGTTATGTTATCTTTTCCCTCTTTAAAAAAAATTGCTTCACCTACAAGAGTTTCATGGTGCAGTCCTGAACATACCCTACTTCCAGATAGCTTATAAATGAATCATTCGAATCTGATTATTAGCATTCGAAAAGGCAGTGTTAGCGGGGAATCTCTCCTGTATCTCGCTTTTCTGTCCATCGCTTCCGTCGGGGCCTGCTGAAACACCACGGAACTGCGAATCAGTTAGTGCTTGTGTGAATGTCACATTAGCTTTCAAGGGGCATAATTTACTGTTAATTAATGGTCACTTAAATCCTTAATCTCTCTCCTGTAATTGATCTTTCTCCTCAGGCAAATTTGCATTCATAGTAGAAATGTAATTTATTATTTCTTCCCATCTTACACAAAGAACTCTTCCCCCTTTGGGTTTATTTAAACGCACCTTCCATTTCCTCAATATTATTATTTTTCTTTTCATTGCTTCCTTCTCTTTTGTTCCTAGTCCCAGCTTCCAGAACTTTCTCTGTGTTTTCCAAAGACTTTGTGGTATTTTAGCGAGTGTGTGTTTATCCATAGGGAATCTGCAGGTCGTTTCTTAGAAAAGGCAGCGGAAAGGAATTTGAGCGTTATCAGCAGAGGGTAAGGGAAGGCACTTTCATTTCTCAGAATCATGTTTTCACCCCATCTCAGGTAGCTTCTGTCCTCAGCGCTTCCCCGACTGAGACTTGAATTGGAAGCTTCCAAGCGAGGTAAAAATGAAACAGCCCAAAGCAAAGTTTGCAGGAATAGCACTGAGCCGCCTCTGCTCGTGTTCTTCACTTCCTTCCCCTGGGTGACACCAGCGAGAAACGTTCTCAGGTAGAGAGGTTCACAGCGCACTTTTTGACAATAACAGTTTACAAAACCCTCAAAATGATGCCCGATGAAAGCCACCCACCTCCGTCCTGCACGCCTGAATAGCTGATGCCATTTTAGGTATCTTGGGCGAACAGTTAGGGAATTAAAACGCTCATTAGATTCCTGGTTCTGATGGGAATGAAACTGAAGATTCCGCTGCCCACCGTGAGTCTGGAATTGCACCTCCAACGCGTTGTTAGCATTTTGGTCACAGTGACATTGCTAAATCATAGAAATTGCTGCCCGTGGCGGCCTGTGACATGACATCATTCATAAAGAAACGGGCATAAGCAGGATTGTCGCACAGGGAGAAGCGATCTCATTTACGGGTTCCTGCTGGATCCCTCACACCTTCAGCAGCTCATCAAAATAACCATCAAAACCACTGAGAGCCCAGGCGAATCCACACGCAGGACACTACCGATAGATTTCACTCACGCACCGCGTCGGAGGTGTGCAATTTGCTTCAGTCCAATGACTTCTCGAAGCTTTGAATTCCCAAAGGGCTGGCAAAGCTTGTGAACGAAATATCTTTTTGCAATTCAGTGAAAGCCCTCACAAATTTGTCACTTCCAATTGTGGGTGCTCGTTTCTCTCGCTTGCGTTCCCCCCGGCCTCCCACCTCAACACCAATCACTGCTCCTCCACAAATCAAGATGCCTGGGTCAGAGGAAATGGTGGTTTCCTGGGACCAGAGAGAATTTTCCCAAAACAAAGATCTCATTTTCTGACAAGTGCATTTTATTTAAAGACAGACGAAGTGAGAAAAGAGATTTTAGGGAGAAAAGTATGAAATGGCATCTCATTAATCCCATCATCTAGAAACCCATACAGATCTTTGGGTTCGCTGGTTTGTCCATGGTTTTGCTTGGGTTCTCTATTTAATTGTTGAAATACAAATGGAAATGAGTAAACAAAAAGAACCCATGGGGGTTAAGTTTTGGCTAAGTGCTATTTGCCAGGAGGGGGTGATACAGGAATAAGGAAAGGATTCTGTCTCCGAGGTGCATGATTGCTGCAAAATGAAATCGTGGTACAGTTTGCATCCCTGCCGATGGGTTGATTTATTTATCTTTGCAATGAGGTTTCTCTATTGGGCACTTACCATCAGCTACCTTTAAATAAATGTCTGCTGAAGGGCCCACCAGGTGGCTATGAATCTGCGCAGCCTGGAGTGAGCTGAAAACTGTATTCTGCTAAGAGCTACTGAGTCCCCAACAGTCTGAAAGCTCCTAAAGATGCTAAGTTCCTCTTTTCATTTCCACAGTGACGGTTTTCTTTTCCAGGAATTCTGGCTGCAGATACCCCTCATTCCAAGAATTCTGCTCTACAGCATCTCACTAAGAAGCTATTACGGAAATATCACAAGGAAGTGAGGCCCGTTCACGACTGGACTGAAGCTACCACTGTCTACCTGGACCTCTTTGTGCATGCTGTATTGGATGTGGTGAGGACCATCCTGCCTTTTCGCGTCCTTGTTACCTCTTTGAAAACGACCCACAGGGGGCCAGCAGATGGTGTAATGGTTATGTTGCTGGATTCCCACATAAGTTCAAGTTCCGGACCTGGTGACTTAGAACTCATACCAGGCATGTGTGCGCACATGCCCAAGATCCCAAGAGGAGAGTGGAGAAGGAATTGTGGCATGGCCATTCCCCTGGGAGGTGATATTTCACTTTCTGTCTCTCTGTGTCTCTGGCAAGCACACGTGCCCTATAGCAAAATCTCTCTCAAAACAACAACAACTACCAGCAGATGGCATAATGGTTCCATCACTAGACTCCCACATAGTCAATGGTAGTTTGAGTCCCAGACCCAGTGGCTTGAAATTCATATGGGAGGCGGGTGGGCTGGCAGATGGTGTGGTGTTTAAGGTGCTGGACTACCACATGGTGAGCTGCAGTTCAAGTCCTGGACCTGGTGGCTTGTTTTCACACTTTCCCTTTCTCTCTCTCTTTCTTTGGCAAAATCAAAACATTAATAATAATAACAAATAAAATAAAATAAAATTTAAAAAATCTTTTTAAAAAAATTCATGCCAGGTACTTTTGTGTGCATGCCCAGAATTCCAAGAGGAGAATGGAGGAGAAGGGACTGCAGAGTGGACATTTGTTCGGGGGTGTGGTGTGATTTCTCGCTATCTCTCTGTCTCCAGTGAGCACACGCACCCTATACCAAAAATCCTCTCTTAAGAAAAGAAACAAAAAAAACCTACCTGCAGTTTATGCAAGAGTCTAGGAGAGGTTATACTCTTATTTTTAAGTTTACTTATTTCTTTTTTTTCCTAAAGAATAATTTTATTTAACTTTATTTATTTATTTATTTGACCAGAGAGGAACAGAGAGAGAGAGAGAGCAAGAAAGAAAGCCACCAGTTCTGGGACTCAAACCATGACTGGCCATGTGGGAGTCCAGCGTCCTTAACCTCCACGCCACCTGCCAGACCCAAGTTTACTTATTTCTTCCATGAGAGAGAGACAGACAGATGAGAGAGAGAGAGAGACAGTACTCCAAACCCCCAGCAAGGTCCTGATGCCACAGCCAGCCCTAGATTACGGGCATATGCATGCCTGAAATACTCAGGGAAGCCTCTGGGCTTAACTAGGAGCCTTCCCATGTGAGAAGCAAGGAGGGAGAGGTCAGAAGAGGGAGAGGGAGAGAGAGAGGAGGTGCAGAGGTTCACTTCTTTTTATTTATTTATTTATTTATTTATTTATTTTAATATTGCACCACCCTCTGGCTCTTCAAGAGGTTATATTCCTTTTTCTTTTTAAATACTTCATTCTTTTTTAAAAATTTTATTTATTCATTCATTTATTTTAATTTGACCAGAGAGAGAGAGAGAGAGAGAAAGCAAGTCACCAGGTCTGGGATTCAAACTGCGGTTGGCCATGTGGGAATGTCCAGTGCCTTAACCACCATGCCACCTGCTGGCCCTGGTTATATTCCTTTTTTAAAATTGTGTATGTGCTCAAAAGAGACAGATAGAGAGACAGAGAGAGAGGGAGGAAAGCGTCCCTGATGGAGCATGGTCGTGCCACAGTCACTTCTCTTCCGTTTTTCCATTCTGTCAAGTTTGGGGCATACACACACATGTGCCCAACATGTTCTTCAATGCACTAGGGCCGGGATTTGAACTGGAGTAGGTCTTATTAAATCTGGCTCCCTTCACTACCAAGCTACAGGGCTGGCCCAAGAGAGTATTTTCTTGAGATTCTAAATCGAAAGGTTAGGGAAATTGTGTTAGATTCACTTAAGCAGCTACAGTGAGGGAAAATAGTTATTATAAAAATCATGCTTTCTAGCCTTCAACCTTTTTTTTTTGAGAGGTTTTTTTTGTTTTTGTTTTTGTTTTTTTAAATTGATTTTGCATGAGATATATTTTTTTTCTTTGTTTTTGGAGAGGTTTTTGCTATAGGGCGCATGCGCTCGCCAGAATGACAGAGAGAGACAGAGAGATAGAAAGCGAGAAATCACCCCCCAGGGGGGATTGCCACACCGCAATCCCTTCTCCTCCATTCTCCTCTCGGGATCTTGGGCACGCACGCACACGCGCCCGGTGTGAGTTTAAGCCACCGGGGC